GTTCCTCTAACTCTACCCCTACGCATGTACCTCTACCACTACGCATGAAACACTACCCCTAACTCTACGAATGTACCTGTACCTGTACCTCTACCACTTCATCTACGCCTGTACCCCTACCACTACGCCTGTACGACTACCTCTACCTCTACGCATGTACCTCTTCCTCTACCTCTACGCCTGTACCTCTACCTCTACGTCCACGTCTGCACCTCTACCTCTGCCTCTACGCATGTACCACTACCTCTACCTGTACGCATGTACCTCAAACTCTACCTCTACGCATGTACCCATACTTCTACCTCTACGCACGTACCTCTACCTCGACCTCTGCGCATGTACCTCTACTTCTACCTCTACGCATGTAACTCTACCACTACCTCTACGCATGTACCTCTAATTCTGTCTCTACTTCTACATCTAGACTCTACCTCTACCTCTACCTCTACGCATGCACTCCTCCATCTAGCTCTACCTCGATCTCTTCGCCTGCACCTCAACCTCTACCTCTACGCATGTACCTCTAAATCTACCCCTACGCATGTACATCTACCTATACTCCTAAGCATGCACCGCTACCTCTACCAGTACCTCTACCTCTACCTCTATCTCTACCTCTACCTTTGCGCCTATACCTTTACCTCTACATCTACCTCTACCTCTACGCTTGCACCTCCACCTCTACCACTACCTCTCCTTCTACCTTTACATCTACCTCTACGCCTGCACCTCAACCTCTACCTCTACGCATGTACCCCTACCTCTACCTCTACGCATGTTCCTCTAACGCTACCCCTACGCATGTACCTGCACCTCTGCACATGTACCTCTATCTCTACCTTTACGCATGTACCGCTACCTCTACCTCTACGTATGTACCTGTACCTCTATCTCTACCTCCACCTCTACCTCCACCTCTACTTCCACCTCTATGCCTGTACCACTACCTCTACGTCTACGTCTGTACTTCTACCTCTACCACTAACTCTTCCTCTACATCTACCTCTACCTCTACGCCTCTACCTCTACCTCTACCTCTACTTCTACGTCTACCTCTACCTTTGCGCATGTACCACTACCTCTACCTCTGCCTCTAACTCTACCTCTACGCCTGTACCTCTACCTGTACCTCTATATCTGCGCCTGTATTTCTCCTTCTACTTCTACCTCAATCTCTTTCTCTACGTCTGTGCCTCCAACTCTGCCTCTACCTCTACCTCTACTCATGTGCCTCCAACACTACCTCTACCTCTAACTCCACCTCTACCTCTACCTCTAACTCCACCTCTACCTCTACCTCTACCACTACTTTTACGGTTGTAACTCGTCCTCTACCTCTACGTCTGTACCTCTACCTCTACCTCTACCTCCACCTCTACCTCTACCCCTACCTCTACGCCTGTACCTCTACCACTACGTCTACGTCTGCACTTCTACCTCTACCTCTACGTATGTACCTCTAACTCTACCCGGACGCATGAACATCTAACTCTAACCCGAGTCATGTACCTCTACCTCTACGCATGTACTTCTCCATCTACCTCTACTACTGTACCTCTACCTGTACCTCTACCTCTACCTCTATCTCCACCACTACCTCTACCTCTATGCCTGTACCTCTACCTCAACCTCTATCTCCGCCACTACCTCTACCTCTACGCCTGTATCTCAACCTCTATTTCTACGC